TATCAGGGGGTATATGACCATTCGTTCTGCTTACGCGCCCGTCCATGTACAATTAGATACTATAATTCAATAAAACAAAGTAAAAAAGAAATCGAGATATCCACATCTAATCCATTCCTCATTCTCCTTAATCAATCTTGTATGAATCAAGTCGATGTATATCTGCTTTCGTCGATAAAAACATCTCATCAATTTCAACTCAATCAACTTTGAAAAACTAAAAAGACCATCGAGGAAAACCTTGAATAGACATAAAAGAGTAAAGAAAACACAAAGGAAACATGATAACACATTATTATCCTGTTCTGACGATTTCTGTTTCGGAAATTCAACCACGCTTTGATAGACATAGTGAAGAGGTGTCTGTATTATCCATCACCTCAAGCTTCACCATCAGTCGTATCTCCTGCCATTACAACATGGATCTTTACACCATCTTCACCATGGTATCAAAGAGATTGTATTTGGGTATCTCCCATATCCGTATCGAGTTTGAAATCAAATGTACGTGTAATTCAAAGGTAAAGGTAGGTAAATGCGTTTCATCTTGCGTGCATGATATATTCATATATATAATGCTGGCGCATCGATAATATCGAAAGATGATATCATTTAAAGTTGAGGAGCTGTAGCAGCGACGATTGGTGCGCTAGGCTCGGGCTTAAGGGGTTCTTCGACCTTGGGAGCTTCGGGTGCTGCTATTGAAGTATCAGTACTATGGGCTTTCACCAAGGTTCCGATTATATATGGAGGCTCACCAGTTTCGGTCGTCTTGGCTGGTTCGGCAACAACTGGAGCTGCTTCTGCGGTAGTTGGGGCCGAAGTTTCAGCAGTTGCTGGTTCCGTCGCCTTTACTTCTGCTGAAAGGGATACGTTAGTATATGTGAGAAGGGATGAGACTAAGAGTTAGAAACATACGTGCAGTTCCCTCAGCAGCTGGGTCAGTAACGTCGGTTTCGGTAGCTGGAGCTGCATCGGTCTTTGTTGCATCGGCAGTTGGTTCAGCTTCAGCCTTCTTGGATTTCTTTCCTTTGAGGAGAGCCTTGAACTTGGCCTTGATGGTCTCGAATGCTTTTGGTGCTATGGTAGGAAGGATGGTTAGTTATGATACGGAAATGGTAAGAGTACAGAAACAAATAGATAGATAGACATGTAGGAAACAAGAGATATGGTGACAAGTGTAGAAAGTAAATACCCATTTTGAAAGATGTGGTTGATTAAGGTGGTAGATAGGATCAAGGTAATAGGGCAAATAGAAACAAATCAAACGACGATAATACAATGCAACAGGTGATGAAAGAATGTGATGAAAAGATAGAAAAACGAGAGTGATGGAATAAATGAAGCAAATTCAAGAAAACAATAAAGTCGTCTTAATAGAAAGAGAGAGAGGGAGAGAGGAAGAATGAATGAATGAATGAGAGAATGGATGAATGAAATGGAAGAAGAAACGATCGAAGCAGAAGATGAAAATGGAAATGATTTTACTTACGAACGCCGGGCATTTTGATAGATTTTCTTTTCGAGTGGATTAAAGCCCCTGGTATGGATGGAGTGATTTTAAATTATTTTGGTCTTTCGATGAGGTTGTCGGAAAGAAGAATGAGACCTTTTGCGAAGATCAAATTTTAAAGATTTATGAAGAGATTTGATAACTTGGGTGGATGTGTGTTCTGGAACTTTTTGATGGATTTGAGGGGGGGAATGGGGAGTTGAATGATTTTGAATGATTTTGAATGATTTATTAATTTTGGAGAGATGGGATGAGATGAAATTATTACTCTCGTAACAACTCCTGAAGAGAAGGGAAGGGAAGTGAAGTGAAGTGAAGTCAAGAAAGGTAAAGTCAAGTCAAGTCAAGTAAAATGTGTGTTTGGAGTGATGATCAAAAGATTATGTATGGAAAAGGGAGAGAAGAATGAAAATGAATCAAAATTGATAATGGGAAAGGAGGCTTGACGGTTTTTGTTGTTGAGAGAGATACACTACCACACTACCACACTCCCACACTTCCCTACCTACCCAGTCTCTTCTCTACACTAGGAAGGAAAGCTTGGAGGTCATTTGGAGATTCATTTGAAGATAAGATCAGACCAAGAATTCCAAACCTTAACCCTCATTTGGGTATAACTCGAATAAATGACACATGCACTACCGATACATGCAGACACATACAAAGTACACATGCACATGCACATGCCACATTCATTCAGTCATTTGTATATTCTTTCATCCATTCAACGATGGTGGATGCATCTAGCGTAGGTGGAGAGGGAGAAAGAAAAGAAAGAAGAAGGAAGAAAGAAGAGAGAAGAAAGCAAGACATGGGCATTACCTCCTAGGTAGATAGTATTCGTATCACGTTTATTCCATTCGTTCGAATCGTGTATATGATTCCATATCTAGTATTTCTATTGGATTATATTCAAGTATATCTCTCTGTCTATCATACCTATTAATCTAAAATATATATAATGTAACTTATATCTTGATAATAAACTTACGAGGTATATTATTCAAGGTTAAGACCAATCTAGAATCTATGACCTTGACCTTGAATACCTCGAATACCTCGAATACCTTGAACAATCCTAAAAATATCCTATGCAGTACCTAGGTAGTCCTCAATGTCATTCACATCCATCATCCATATCCAACCGTTACTCCGTACATTCAACCAATAATCACACCACCGCCATCAAATCATTCAACCGACTTATGAAACATAACTCACCCAAATTCAAGGGTTACCGGTACTACATAATACCTACCTAGTACCTCCTAATCTCTCCCAAGTCCCCATCTCCAATCTTTAATCTCCAACCCTCCCCAAATCAATCATCAATCATCACTCACCAATATTAAGATGAAGAACCCGAAGAACCACGCTTATGTAAAATAATCAATGTTTCATACCTACCCACCTAGTACCTATCTACCTTACCTACCAAGCTACTAATATCTACCCACCAGTCCCCAATCCACAACAAATCCGAACCCTGGGTGGGTATGAGGTTTGGTCTGAACTTGCTATTGGAATTGGAATTGGAATTGGAATCTGGAGGGTGGGTTTGAGTTTGGGTTTGGGAATTGGATTTGAGAATGGGAAATTGGAAATTGGAAATTGAGATATTCTAAATTTCGAGGAGGGGATAGGGATGGGAAAAGGGTGTAAAGGGATGGATTTTGGGGCTTTGGGATTTGGAGGTTAGGGTTAGGATATATATTGATTTACTATCGATTTGGGGTTGAATGGTGATTATTGAATGAATAACTAAAGTCGTGATGTTTATGTGCTATGGAGTTTATAGTAACCTTATACCTACTAGATAGATAGAGAGGTATATAGGATAGATATAAATATAAGTTCCCTCATACTATCTCTACGAGTATATCTATAATGATTTCTCGTGTCGAGCTGAACTACTACTCTGTAGGTAGCTAATTTATATCGATTTTTTTTCTTTTGCACGCACACACGCAATAACCTTTCTTTCCTTCTTTCTTTCCTTCCTTCTTTCTTTCTTTCGTCGAACAAGTAAGTATCGCATGCTTTTAATTTATGGCAGAATTCTCGAGTATAACCTTATCTATCTACATAAGTATAAATCCTCGCCATCAAAATATGACAAAAGTGGACAATTTAATTACAAAATTACACAGTTGAAAGTAAGATACATCTGATAATAAGGACGACCATCACATCCACATACCAGTATTCATATCCTTGCTTTCGCATTTTCGCATTTTCAATACGCGCGCCTGGATGATATTGATATTGATATCGTGCTCGAGATTGGGATGTGCGTATGTATGGATAGGTATATATAATAATCTGCGCATCTCCGATATGAATCACTTTTGGAAGACGGGGTTGGGTGTAAGGAATGGATGAATGAATGAATGTTATTGTTTTACAAAATTCCAATACTACTTTTATTAGTTTTATTAAATATTTAATAATTCTTTTTAAAATTTTAAAATTTGAATCCTCTTATTCAAATTTTCAATTCTTATAATTCTAAAGCTTTTGAAACTTTTGAAACTTTTATAAATTCTAAATGGGTTCAGAATAGGTAATATTTCTAAAAAGAAAAATACGAATTTCAATAAATTAAAGTAATTTTGTTAGAGATGGAATAAATTTATAATATTTTTATTATTTAGAGTTTATTATATAAATTTTTAATTAATATAATAATATAATTAATTCAAACAATAAAAATAGGAAAAAGCTTGATTGCTTTTTGGTGTATTTTATAATACTTGTACTGTTAATCTCTGTATATAAAAGAGGAGTGGGAGGGAGGATCCTTTGAGAGATTTGCTTTTCCCTCTGTGTGGATTTGGGATGGGAAATTGGGAGAATATGCGATTTGGCGATGCTGAGATTGGGGGTTTGGGTGCTGGTAATTTGGGATGGGTGGATGGATGGTATGGGGGTTCATTCAATAAACCTAACCTTACACCCAACACCCGACCTAACTTCATACTTCATTCATACTTCATATACTAATTATACACTCACTACTCGTACATAACACACCAAATAAGCTGCCGAGACTATCTGTCACGCCACAATAACCACGGGATGAAGCGCACACAAAAGTGCCCCCATTTAAACATTTATATACCTAGGTACCTACATACTCGAGCCTACTAGGTAGTTTGACATATCCCCACATACATCCATGAAAAATGGATGAGTAATACTGTATATACTGTAGGTACGAGTGTGTAAATGATTGATTGAATCATGCAGATGCGAATCGTTCATATGAACAAATAAACAACCCTTTATTAATAACACTGCATAAAATTCTATGTATAGCTAGGTACGAGTAGCTAGCTACCTAGTACCTAATTGAAACTCTCCGAAAGGGTTTGGTGCGAGGTATCTATTTGTATTTGTACTTGTACTTATTGAACTTATTGGACTTATTGTACCCCCTTTTTCTTCTTTGCATCGGATCAGCAAGCAAGCAAAAACGTCTCCTTATTTATTTAGCCCATGGTGCACGTGTTGGTCTATTATCTGGATGTGGTACGTTTGAAGATGTTGATGCATCATTATTTGGAACAGATGGGTTTGTCGTTGGAGGGAGTGATCCCGAGGGAGGTGTTGATCTTGTGAAAGGCGTTGTAGATGTCGGAGGTATTATTCGTCTTGTTGAAGGCATACCGGTCGCGGCTCCTGGATTTGTCCATGGCGCAGCTGTGGGTGGTATACCTTGAGATGGTGAAGGGGTAGCCCATGGTGCTCTTGTACCTTCTTGTGCTGATGGTCGGGTGGTTGGTGTTCCGCCCGAACCTGTTGGTTGAGGTTGATTTGCTGTGTGGACGGTTTGAGGCGCTGATACAGCATGAGGGTCTTGATCCCAACTAAATAATGATCCGAATGGGAAATGTTGTACCACTGGAAATTTAGATAGTACTTCTGCATTATACATTTTGATCATTCCCTAAAACACGTTAGAATGGTTGGAGGTATCAAGAATGAATACTGACCTTGTTTATCTTTCCCCATCCTGATCGTACTCCGGATATATCAAAAAGTATTGGACTATGTTCCCAAAATGCGCCAGTTTTGACATCATTGATGAAACCAATTGCAGAGAAGTACATATTGTTCTTCCTTTCTCGATCAACAGTCATTTTCCTAGCTACGTCTCCTGGATTTGGAGATTCTGGTAAAGATCCTTCAACTGGCATAGCTTCATCATTGGTAATAGCTGGGCAATATTGAGAAGATCCAAAGATGAATGGCAAAAATGAATGATCATCTAATCCCCATACACCATGAGATCCAGCTGGCTCTAGAGTATATGTGAGAATAAGACGTCGGACTACACGTAGGTAACTAATAGTCACATTAGCACATTTCCTTGACATGAAAGAAGATAAACCATACGGCTCTATAATACCCATCACAATACTTCTCTCTAACTCGCCCCCATTTGAAGGTGTTTTTGTGAACCCACCCAACTTCCAGATACATCCCAAGAAAGCTAAAAAGCTAAGTTCATGACCCGTTCCATAATCCAGTCTCTGCGCACTTCCAAATCCACCCAGCAGATAAGAAGTAAGTTCATCCAAAGCCGATACCTCATCCTGTGGAGAACTACCTCCAAAGTGGAGGACCTCAGCCGGTAAATACTGCTTCAGTAAGTCCTTCACTCTCGTCTCCAGTAAATCGTACCATTTTCGAAAGCTAACATTTCCAAATCTTCTTGGTCCTGTATCGGGTGGTGCTTCATCAATGATAGCATCAATATTTTGCAGTAAGTCTTGTAATTTCTTCACGGGTTCTGATAACTCCAAGGGAGAATCGAGTGTCCACGTCTGAGGATTTCCACCGATTTCAGATGGTTTCCTAGGACACATAGCAATATTGAGTTGCATGATAAACACACCAATATCCGTATAGGCCTTTGATGTGAGGAAGTGGGGCACATCGTGACCTTCATGAATTTTCTTTACAGGCTTTATGAAAGTATGTGGTAGTGATGAATCTAGAATCGGTAAGCTTCGAGATAAGGAAGTCTCTGAAGTTGGGTTTGGTATTTGTTGTGAAGCCATCTTCAATTTTGCTCCATGCAAAAGTCAACGTGATGAAGATATAAATTCGAGGCGATTCTGTTTGATATCTCTTTTCATGGGGTAAGCATTATGATATCAATCAGAGAGCTATATCCCTGTTTATCCCGAGCTCTTTGATTGGTTTATATTGCAGGCATTATTTATTGTTGCCCTGTGGTTGCTTATCAGATTTTCCATATCTTTTGTTCAATACTTCATCATGAATGCGCCGCGACAAGTTTCGATTGGTACATCTACTTAAATGAATTTTTTACAATAATTTCAAATACAGCTCCTTGAGAGCAAGTCTCTCGACTCGTACTACAACACTCTTAAGATCACTACAAATATTCGCGCAAGCTGTCAAGGTCAAACAATTTCTTTTTCAAGGGAGCTTCAGAACCATGCCAAATACCAGACGTCAAGAAGCTGGTAAGTGCATTTAATAATAACTACGCGACTATATCTGATGGCCTGATAATAGCAGAAGCGAAGAGTGGTGTTTCAAAGTCGACGCGATCGGGATCCGGTAAGTGCATTCATCATTATTCACACAATTGTACTTATTTCTAACCTTGTATTATCAATGGCAGCACTAGCAGATGATGCCTCATCGGCAGACTTGCTTAATAAAATACATCGACCGCCGCCAAAAGTAGATATGAAAGTCGCAAGAAAACATGCTCCATCCGCTAGGCAGGCTCGACAACCTGTACAGGTAGCACCGGAATCAGACGAGGATATTGAAGATGCACTGAACAAGCAATTAAATGAGAATAATGAGGATCCATCCGGGTTGGAGCCGGAGGATATGACAAAAGAACTTGAAAATGCTCAGCCAGCATCACCAGCTGAGAAAAAAAAGAGGGGCCGTCCCAGGAAAGAACAAATAACAAAGGAAAAAGAAAAGGGAGACGCGCAAGACGTATCACAACTTCAAAGTGCTTCTCCGCAAAAGCGCAAACGAGATGATCCAAGCATCTATGACTTCGTTGCCGAGGAAGATAATCAAGATGTTCGACCCGCGCCTTCCAAGCGAGCAAGTAAAAGTTTATCGGTGAAGGGTACCCCGAAAACCAAGCAGTATAGTGTGAAGCCCAAAAAAGTTCGGAATCAGCCTGACACGAGCGCTGTTGATGAGTCTGGAGACTTCGATGAGGATTTGCCTGACGTGGCAGATATTGGGAATGGTAACTCCACAGTTGACCAAGAACCTGGACAACCTGACGTAGGTGCCCCCTCCAACGACAGACGTGCAAGCGTTCGGAAAACGAGAGACGACGGAGAGCATGTAGAGGATGGAGAAGATGAAGGCGACGAAGACGATGGAGGCGATGGAATAACAGAAATAGCTATGCCTCTAACCCCGGCAAAACCGCAAGGTCAAATTTCGCGAGAACAGCATAAACAAAGCGCAAATGATGCGAGGACAATAAGCAGCAACCATGCAAATGTTTTCCATAACAAGAAGATTCAGCCTTCGCGCAAAGTGGGAGTCAGAGAAGGGCAACCCGGAGAAGTCGCCGATAATGTTGGACAAAGACCTAATGTAGCAACCGCCGCCAATGTTCCAGAACAACGTGAAGCGGCTGGAGAAGAACTTGATGACGAATCTGATGATGAGGAAGAAAATTATCAAGAAATTTCCCAACAACTTGTCGCCTGGACTGGAATCGTCACCCGTACTTTTTTTCCGGATATTGAAAAAATTTCAAAACGGTTCGGTTGTAGAGAAACTAGGGGTACGTGGATACCAGTAGTTCTAGAGAAGCGTGGCCTTGTAACAATATCTGGAAAGAATACGGAGCGGTATTTGAAAATGCTCCAACAACTCTATCAAACCCTTAAACTAGCAATAAATGAGGAGAACGATGCCAAGCAGATCGAAGTCAATTCGCATATCGAGCAAACGATTGATCGTTTGAATAACAGGGTAGACGATAAGCTACAGCCCTTGGCGGAAGATGCTCCCGAACCTGTTAGAAGGAAGAGACGTAGATATTTGGAGGACATATACATTGTTCTTATTCGAGAATTCTTGAAAGTCTTGAGAACCGCAATGCTTACATATGGAAACCTTCAGGTGTTGTCAATCGAGGCTTTATTAATTGTGAATCGGATCACCAGTGTAATCCTCAAAGTTTTCAATTATCTCGAAAACCAGGAGAAGGATTTACAGCCTACGAACTGCGGCCAGACGAGGCAACCATTGAAGGAACTTCGCACTCATTTGCGAGATGTGTTGCAGCGAAGGTGTCAAATGAAGATTGCTGAGCTCCGTAGAGAGGAGGAAATTGAGAAACATCTTGCATTGACCCAGGAAATTAGACGTGTGCGGGAAGAGGAAGAGGCCAGGTTGGAAAATGAGAGATTGGAGCAAGAGCGAAAGATAAGAGAATTCAACTCATCCCAACAGAAAACCATAATGGCCAGCCCAAAGAAAGCTAGTCTGATCGAACTTGAAATGGAGAAAATTGCGTACCGAAAACTCCCACAAGCTGAAAGAATCAGACTCGAGCTGGAAGCAGAAAATAAGAAGAGATCGAGAAGGCTGGTGCAACAAATACCACAAGTAGAACGAGAACGTTCCGCTGCGTCGTCACATAGAAGTCAAAGCAATAACGATGACCGGAATGATCCATTCTCGGACAACTACGATCCTTCACGAGGTCCCAACAGGTAATTTAAGATTCCTTCGTACTCCATTCTACTGTTCTAAATATTTTTATAGAAATCCCGTCTCTGCTCAATCTCGAAGAGAAGCCAAATTTGGCGATATTCCCGATAATGAAAAACAGAGATTCTATGACCATTTCAAAGAGAAGTATAGATACGAGGAAGAGCAAGGCTTAAAAGATGAAGAATTTTGGGGTCGTCTACAGAAAGATTTACATGGTGGTAGGTATACTCTAGATGAAATCTGGGGCTTTGCAAGGGAATTGCAGGCAAGTCTAGATTCTGCGCATGATGAAGGGGAGTTTGATGGGGAGGAACATTTCTGGACATTTTATGTTTGGGATTGGGACATGGAATCGTAGAGGAAAGTTTGGGGGTAAGGGAAAAATGGAAAGGAAGCTAATGACGGTGTAATCTAAAACGATTCTTTGAATTCGTTTGTGTGGGATTTGATTCGATATGATATGAAATGATATGGGTGGGTGGGTTGGGATAGAATGGAATGGAATGGAATGGGATTGTCGGGAGTCTGGATCTCATATGGTTTGATACCCAATATTGCACTTTTTTTCCCATGCTGATACCTAAGTATGTATGTTATGATACTATGAGAATCTCGAGTTTGCTTGGCTTTGCTTTGCTTCGATACAATCTCGTATGCAATTGATATTGTAAGGCTCATCTTAGATTCGCGGAGCCGAGCTAGCTAGCTAGACACGAGATCTTTCTGCTAGCTATGACAAAATATCACATTTAAATTCGCGTACGCATAGACTATGTATCTACACATACACATAACAAAGGAAATACCTTGCGATCAATAAACTCACGACCACATTGCCTTTATATTTAAGATCACCATATCGGTATCGCCGTACGTATCGTCTTATTGCATAATTGATATCCTTATAGAGGTACGGACCTTACCTAGGTAGGTAGCGAGTGACATACATCTGTAATCAGGAGCATCTTATTGGAAATTTGGAAATTCAGTATCGCGTGAGTAATCGCAAACTCTTGCCGCGTCTCGCGTGGACTTGCTGGATGGAGTAATTAGCTCCCCGCACACGTGATTTGTGCTTATGGGTTTGTGAATGGGGATGGGATGGGATGGGATGGGGAGGGGGAGGGGGTTGAGTCAGAGGATTGGGTGGATTGGGAAGGGGATTGGATTGGATTGGAGGAGAAGGGGAGATGGGGGGAGAGAAGGGAAGGGGTATATGTAGAGATATGATTTTGGAATTGGGATTTGAGATTTGAGATTTGAGTGATATGTAACCTAGGATTTGGGAGAAGTTGATTGTTCCTTTTACTTTTAACATCTACTTTCAACATTGATATTTACATTTCCCTTCACACACAATTCGAAAGAAGAGAAAATCGATAAATCTACAAAATCGAGATCTGAAACTCTAAAATCCCGAAGACGAACGAACAAACATCAAGAAATCCAAATCCGTATTCTCATTTAAATTTCCTTTCATCTCCAGATTTCAAAAATCCCATATCTCCCGCAGACGAAGAAAATATGGCAAATGCAGAAGCAGAAGGAGAAATAACCATGTATCCAAAGACGCTGAGGAATACGGTGCAGAGATATAGACTGCGGGGTATATTATTTTTCGTCATTCTTGCTTTTTGCTTTTTACCGGTGTCTTAAATTTTGGGGTTTGCGTCGTTGAGATTTTTGGGTTGTTGATTTGGGATATGGCTCGGGATTGTTTGAGGGTTAATGTTCCCTCTTCGATTCTTTCTTTCCTGGCGAATCGGGGATTTTGAATTTGCTTGCTTGTTTTTCCTTTCATTCATACTCCCTATTTCGTTGTCTTATGTCGCCATATCATACGTATATACTAGGTATGTGTGTACTAGGGATCTCACTAATGTGTTCGCAATAGCAAAATATGATCATCATACTATTCATACTATTATTAATAGTTCGCCGATTTTACATGTTTCTTGTGAGTTTGGGTTTGAGAGGGGGGTTGTTTTTCTTTTTGATTGGGATTGTTGATGTGATTTCTGTTTTGGGGGGTTGTTCTTGTGTCTTAACTTTTTGTTGGTTCTGATTTTGAGGGGAGGATACTCGTCTTTTCCTGCTATTTTCCTGCTGTTTCCCTCCTTTCTCCATCCTATCAAATCCCTACACTCTCCAAACCCCCTATTACTCCACTCCTCACTAACTACTCCTCCGCAAAGTCCACACCCCCTCCCCTGAAGATCCCTTCCCCGCCATCCTCCCTATGTTAGGATTCATGGGGCTCTACGATCCGCAAAATCCCACGGAGGAAAATATTAACGAAGGTGCGAATTTGTATTTGCATGGTTATGTGAGTAGTAGGTTGATGAGGATGGGGAAGAAGGCTTCGGAGGAAGGAGAGGGAAGCGAGAGGGAAGAAGGATTGCCGATGACGGTTGCGGCGAGTTGTTTGGATGGGTTGGTTTTGGCGCTTACGCCGAATAATCATAGTGAGTTTTGTATTTCTTTGGGGTAGATGAGAGGAGGTTGTGATTGTCTGGGAGAAGATGATGAAGAGGGCTTGTGGGGATGTGTAGGGGATGGGGAATATGTTTTTTAGAGGAAGAAGTGAAGAGAGAGAAATAGAATGGGTAGAGAACGAGAAAACGAAGTTGAAAAGAGGTTAAGAGAAAAAAAGACTAATAAACCCACAGGTTACAATTACCGCAGTGCAATCCTACAAGGATATGGTCAAGTTGTCGAAGACGTCGATGAGAAATTGGTATGGCCTTCCCCTTTCCTTCACATCTCTTATTCCCTTCGTTCATTCATATATCTCTTCATCCACCCATCGCATCATCCCACAGATCTCGCTAAACTCTCCCTCTCCTCCCAATCAATCTAACTCTATGCTCTCCCATTCTCATCCACAACTCTAACACATCTCCAAATATCTAGTGGGCAATGGAAAAAATAACCAACACCGTTCTCACCGATCGATGGGATAACACTCGTGTTCCTCCTACAAAAACAGAAATGACTACGACCCAAGTTCGTTTACTTCTCTTCCTTTCACTTCCCTTACTCCTCCCTCTCTTCCCCCTCTACTCCCCACAAAACTCCTAACAACCCAACCCCCAGATCCTCCGCATAACCCCCCACACCGCCTCCGCCAAAATCCGTCGCGGTCCACCCCACGACGACCGCCACGATCTCAAAGATGCAGAATTGAAAAATCGAGTGTGGACCGGTGTGGTACCTGTGCATACTGTGTATGGGACACCGATTCGGGGTGAGGATTGTGAGATTCGTGAGGTAGGAGATGTCATTTTCTATGTTGTTTTTTATACTTTTTTAAGGTTTCTTATTGGAAGGGGCAAAGGGACAAGAAAGGGGGAGATGGTAAGAAAAGACAGAGAAGTAGTCAATAAAACATTAGACGGATAATACCGACGAGGGATAGAGAAGCGAAAAATCCAAGTTACAGAGGGAAAGGGGTCGAGGAACAAACAAACAAACAAACAAACAAACAAGCGAGAAGAAGGAAAACATAAAGCTAACAACCCCTCTCAAACCAGGTCCCACAACACATCACCAACTTCATCGATGCGAAAAATGAAGAAAACAAGAAATTTGCTATTGATCGCGCCGGAGACGAGGATGAGTCTTAGTCAAGTTCGAATTCGAATTCGGCTTCGCAAGAATGGATTAATGGGCGGTGGTGAGGGTGGAATCGAGATTGGGATGAGATTGATAATGGATCAACTGTGAGACACATCTGAACTTCCGGTTAGAGGGGAAGAAGAAAGAGAGAGGGAGAGAGGGAGGCTGAGTGATATTTATAGGTTCCTTATCTTATTGATTTCTTGATTTAGATTCGGTTTGCGTGATGATCTGGGATATTGCTGATATATGTACTAGGTATGTACTATGATGTGATGTGATGTGATGTGTATATAATATTGTGTCTGATATTGAGATCACGATATATCTTACAAAAATGAAAATAAAAGAATTTACATACAAGACTTCACTCCACGCACGTATGAAAATTCCAGAAAGAACATTTGACATTCCAGTTTCTGCGCGTAGGTTTTATTTTCCATCTCCTCCATTCTGCAATTTTGATTTTGAATAAGAATTCATATCTAAATCCTTTTCAGGATTCGTTTGAGATTTTAGAAGTAATGTTTTATTTCCCATTCCATTCCATTCCGTCCCTTCTCTTTTCCTCTCTTCTTCTCCCTTTTCTTCCTATCTGTGGATTTCGATACTAATACCCCCAATCAATTAATCGAAAAATAGACGAGATTAGAAAGGGCGAGAGGACACTGGGGATTATTTGTTTTGGTCCCAATTTGGCGGAAGAGGGAGAGGGGAGGATCACTCAAGTGACTTGTTTGCTTGGGAGGTCGGTTAATTCACTTGTTCATATTTGATAGAAAGAAAAGATAGGATTGAGACCACTTGTGTGAAACATATGTTGGATTGTTGGTCAATATGATGTATGTGTTTTGATACAAGAGGTACAGGAGAAGATGCAAGCAGAAACAATGTTTCCGCTGAATAGCCATGAACCGTGTCAAATGAGGATACAAGATGACCATCGCGTCAAGAGTTCGATGAAAGAAAGACATATAAAATTCGCCTACTTGAGACAGACAACTTTGCACGCGTGGAGATCTTGAATGTGAAGTCCATATTGGATGACTGAATGTGCGCAGTGGCAATAATTTTTTTTTACGTCCTTTCGCATTGTGAAGACGACTAGATAGAAATACACAGCACGAAATACTGAAACATGGCGATAAAGGTTTGAGAATTAGAAGTGTTGGCTGATATCTGTGAATCACTATATAAAGTAGTGAATGAGTCTCTGAGGTAGACGATAAATTGCTACGCCGAACTCTAGACTGGAGTACAAACTGTGTGGAAACTTTCCATATGCTATCGTTAAAGCATAGATTTTAAAGAAATGGACCGGTTCTAGACCTGAGAGATTACGACGATTCGGCCGATTCGGACAACATGTGTCCGCTCCAATTCCGAAGACTTCTGAGAAGATGATGAAGGGGTCATAGCATATATATAGTGTAGAGTGGAAGGGAAAAAAGACGAGAACGAGAACGAGAAATGCTAGTAAGCAGTGACAAAAACTATTTTGTTAGCTATATCGTATAAATATAAATATTCTAGTAGTTACCTGAGTAATCATATTATAGTTATAGTTCGAAATAACCAAAATTTCGTTTTCGTATCCACTTCTAAATACAAGTGAGCCTTGTCAAAATCACGGCAATATCTTCCGCATACAAATTATTACTCGTGTGCACTTACTAGATATACTAGTTCAGTGAGGCTTGCATATGCAGTGGTATACTTGGCCTTTGCGGGAATGGTAGATGGATACTCAATGCTCATGCCTCTCTGCATCAGATTGCTTGCATATTGTCTTGAGTGTGTTTGCGATGATTCTGCAAAACTCTGATTCTGGTGGCGAAAGCCCCAAGTGAGAATATGAGATGTAGAAGAGAATATATGATCGTCATCGAAACCTTTGGGTAGAAAGGTAATGAATTGGTTAGATAATTGTGTATGGAGACGTAGATAAAACTCTTGGTATCATAATTGTCGTCTTTTCGCTATCGAATGGGGGAATGAAGGGGTGCTTTGAACAGCACGGTGTTAGAGATGACTCAGAAGCGATAATCAAAGTTTTTTCTCTCACAATTATACGGAGGTAATGTTCCTGAAGTATGTAGTTTGATGAAGATATATACATATTGATCCTCGAGGTCCTCGAAGGCGAGTCATGTTTGAGGTCTGTTACAGTGTTGATATCCGTATGGAAAGGGAAAATGGTTCCTGTTGAAGAGAATAGAATATTCATACTAGCCACAGCACACAATGATAAGCGGAAAGAATCTAAGCGTGCCGAACACCAACTATTCCGCACAATGCCTACCTAGTAGGGACTCATCTCAATCAAGATGGATGCTTTGATTTTAAGCAAAGTTGATGGATTAGTGATCGAAGGATACCTAGGTATAGAATTGTTTAGTGCCTTGGAGTGAACGTAGTGTGTGGTAGCGTAGCGGAGAAATCCAGAAAGTGGTGATTTATACCCTTAAAGGTCAATCGAAGCCAAAGGCGAGTAAAGAACAGACGAGTAGATGTACCGCAATGGTATGAACCAGAATGTATTTTCCTAGAGGACTCTTGATGGAAATAGTAATATTTTAATTGAGAAAGAGATAACAACACATACCTAGGTACTGCTCGATCATCAAATATGAAGGGGGTAAGCGAAGTGGACGCCTCCATACCTATGGGGACTTGGTTATATACTTTTTTGCCCCGGAAAACTTAAATATAGCGACGGTATTTTGCTTTTTTGGGGTATCCTGAACCTATCCCTCGGTATCTCAAGAAGACCCTGAAAAGTTCTCGTGGTTGTGATACGCAAACTGTAAGAAATAAATGAATGTACTCATCACGACTTATGCATGACCCTTCGTACATCATTGAGACGGTATGTGATATCATCACGGCTCGTCGATAGAGGTTATACCGGTAGAAGATTCGATGAAACTTGATAGAGTGGCTTGAGGTAGGATGAGTAAGTGGCTGATGAGTAGCCCAGTGTTTGTTTCACTTGAGCTTACGATATATAAAACACTTTTCTATGATTGCTTTTTTTGATCGACAGAAGGGCTTCTGTACGGAGTATGCTGCATAAAAGCAAACAATGTAGAAGCGGGGTGGTCATAGGATCTTCAAAACAGATTTATTTATATTCCCATCTTAGGTACCCATCACATCTGCAGATTTGAGTAATGATTTACTCGAAAGATATCTATCTCCGATACGAGAATCTGATAGTTGATCAGATTTCAAATATCGAAAAGTATAATAGAATTCAAAAGCCCCTATACGAAATCGTAGGACCACAACTCTGCTCTGACTGGTTTTTTTCCTATTGTTCTTCTTTTCTTTCAGACACGGGAATGAAGAATTGCATCAACTAACGGAAACTACTCCTAGCTTCTATAGATCGTCCTGTCTATGGAGCACGGAGGGTAGGGGGATTGCTAATCTTTGTAGATCGTACATAGTATTGGGAATGCATTAAGAGTTTTGACCACGATGATCCCCTCATCGACATCTATGATTCTAGCCACTTGAAACCTGGGATCCGGAAGGGTTGGGCCATACTCCATAATAATTTCTTCTGTGGCTTCTCTCGTGGTGAGTAATAACATGTGAGAGGTGTTTTGTTTCTCCGTCTATGACAATACCATTACTGACTACGAAGTAATAAGGAGGTATGTTATGGAGTTCTGAGTCTTTCTTTTTGGATGAGTAGCTGTAGATGGATAGATTTCCGATGGCAGCCGAGTAGACGAATGCATAATATCCAGGTACATCATACATACAACCAACAACACATAGTACACTCGGTACACGATGTGCATTATTACCTGCTCCTGTACAAAAGTGGGCTATATATCTCCATTAGAGTCCCGTCAACCCAGATGGTCTCGATGGTGCACTGGTGTCAATACCTATGGAGTACGTACCTAGGTCGATGCTAGGTCGGTAGCACGTACCAAAGTCCCTCCCTCATTGGAGAACTTGGGGGAAGGAACTTTTGAGATTTTATGGTGGAGATTAGAGTTTATCATATTATATAAGTCACACCAATCTCGACCAATCAACATGCCTCGTTTTTGTTTTGTTTGAGTCCGTCTCAAAATCCCATAAAAAATTTAAGTAAATGCGATCTTATCTAATATCCCAAAATCTCCAAAAAACCCACATACATCCATTCAATCATGGATACCTACCTCGATGATCCCATTCCATTCGCCACTTCCGGTCTCGCCAACCACACTCAATCCATCAACTGAACCACTCTCGAGCCACTCGAGCCACTGACCTCTGTATTGTAGATCAGTTCCTACGCGAATATTCGAATATTCCAAACCTTCACAACTTCTACAATTCGACCCCATCACAGACCTTTGGACCTTGACATGCGGAAAGAGTGACAACTTTACCCATACACACCCAGCGAAACAAATCAACTTCAGGATACCCTCTTCCTTTCCCGAGCGTGTCGAATTATCAGTACAAACCCCTCGATCTTTCTTCCAGTCACTCACTATCGCTACCAAGATCATTGCTTTATCGAACACAAAAATGCATGCATGATCGTTTGATTGTTTAACTTCGACAAGGACATTTCATTTCACTACTCTCATTCACTGCGCCTGGAAATTTTACTTAGGGCTATTGGAACGGGAAAGAATTCGACAGCAACATTCCTTATGGTTTAGGAAAAGTCTATCTTACGAACGATTGTGCGAACATATTTCGATGCATTTACGAATTGAAGGAAGATAAATACATGAAGGTGTAATAGGCTGGCTACGAACAAACACTTTCTTTTAATACAATCAACAGAATTAGATCACACGGGGATTGCAGATACGAATTGGTCACCCCAACAGGCGGACCTATAAAGGTCAACGAGCCCCTTGCAATGCTGCCGGATCCTGAAGAAATTGCCCAATTACCAAAGGATAACGAAGTTAAATCAATGGAAGTGGCTTCTCGGTCTTCATCTCGGACGCGAACTTCAACAGGTGGCTCTACACCTGTTCCTGCTTCTCCAACCACAAAACCACGATTATGGCCAACCGATATCCCCAAGGGCTATACTGCTTCATCTGCCCAAGCAACATCTTCTTGGAGCGCCAGTTCGGACCAGCAGCTTGGTAGCCCATCATCTACTACCAACGATCGGGTCTTTCCAATTAGAAGTGTCGTCAGTGTCGATCCCACCCAGACCCCAGCCTCATTTTCAGCTAGGAATTCGGCCTCGGGTGAAATGAATGACTATTTCCCACGCCCCCCAAGTGTAGCAAGCAAAGACGGAGGTGGGAGGGGTTCGAAATATTCAGATTCGGATGGAAAGATAACTCCTCGCCCAAGAGGTCAGACGGAGTCGAATGCTGACCCCAGGAGAGCAGATCGCAAGTCGTCTACCTCTACAACTCGTAGTGAGTTCCGAGGCAGTCGCTTGCAACAGTTCCTCGACAATACATCTGATAGATCTGTTGACACGCGCGATTCCAGCGCAAAACAATCATCGGTTGGAAATATGTCTGGGAACATGTCTGTATCCGATGACGGTGGACTTGGAGGGTTAGTAACGGCCAGGTTTAAGCACATCGTGACTGCAGAAGGACATGCCATTATTACCGGTCGTGATGGAGAGGTTCTGCAGAAATGCGAGGATGAACCCATTCACATTCCTGGAGCCATACAAGGCTTTGGCTTACTGATTGCGTTATCAGAGCATGAGGATAATCAACTTTTGGTTCGTCTTGTTAGTGAAAACTCCCAACGCATGATTGGATATACGCCTCAGGAGCTTTTTCGACTGGATAGCTTTCTAGATATCCTGGGCGAGGACCAACAGGTGAGTCATTGTGAGAATCCCAATTTTCGAGTCCAGCTTGTTGACCGTACCAGGAAAATCTACTTGATCATATTGATTTTATTCGCGATGAAGAGGCGGATCCTGCTTCAAATGGCCCAGAAGTTTTTACAATCTCGATTCGCCACCCAAGAACTCATAGATCTAAAAAGCTTTGGGTAGCTATGCACATAAACCCTGACAACCCAGAAATGATCATTTGCGAGTTTGAACTCGATGATGACCAAGTCTACCCTCTCGTTCCAGAACAGGAAAAAACACCCGAGCCTCCCGAGGATACACTCAACAGCAATCCAACAAAGGAGGAATTCGATGAGAGTACGGTCAATACAAGCAAACCACTTCGAGTCTTGAGAAACGCGCGAAAGCGCAAAGGCGAAGCCGCTGCTATGGAGGTCTTTAATATCATGTCCCAGGTGCAAGAGCAACTTGCCACTGCGCCGAACTTGGAACTTTTCCTGAAGACTCTTGTAGGTGTGGTCAAAGAGTTGACAGGTTTCCATCGTGTCATGATATACCAGTTCGATGCTTCATATAATGGTCGAGTAGTTACTGAGCTTGTTGACCCTCGAGCAACTAAAGATCTCTACAAAGGACTGAATTTTCCGGCATCCGACATTCCTAAGCAAGCTCGAGAATTATATAAAATCAACAAAGTTCGCCTTCTTTATGATAGGGATTTAGAAACTGCACGACTTGTCTGCCGCGGTGTCGAGGAGCTTGAAAACCCTCTTGATTTATCATATGCTTATCTTGTGAGTCCTTATACCATCAGCCTTTGAAAGTTACACATGGTAATACCACTATCCTTGGTTGAATATTCACTAACATCCGGTAGCGAGCCATGTCACCTATACACATTAAATACCTGACGAACATGGCAGTTCGATCCTCAATGTCTATTTCGATCAATGCGTTTGGCGAGTTATGGGGCTTGATTGCTTGTCATACTTATGGTCCGAAAGGAATGCGAGTCTCCTTTCCTATTCGAAAGATGTGCCGACTGGTAGGTGATACTGCGTCAAGGAATATTGAAAGATTGTCATATGCTTCACGACTTCAAGCTCGCAAGCTCATCAATACAGTTCCAACACAAGCCAACCCTTCTGGTTACATAATAGCATCCTCTGACGACCTTCTGAAGTTATTCGATGCTGATTTTGGCCTCCTTTCAATCAAAGGAGAGACTAAGATATTGGGCAAGATTAATCAATCTCACGAGGCACTTGCTATGCTGGAATATATGCGAATGCGTAAAATAAAATCCGTTGTCACCTCTCAGGACATCAAGCAAGACTTTCCGGATCTTCGATATCCCCCAGGATTCAACGTCATTGCGGGATTGCTTTTGGTACCATTAAACTCGGAGGGCGAAGACTTTATCGTATTCTTCCGTGCTGGACAAATCAGGAACGTCAAATGGGCAGGCAATCCGTACGAAAAATTTATCAAAGAAGGCACTGAGGGCTATCTGGAGCCGAGAAAAAGTTTCAAGACGTGGAATGAGACTGTGGTTGGAAAATGCCGTGAATGGACAGAGGAACAAGTGGAAACTGCTGCTGTGCTCTGTCTAGTTTATGGAAAGTTCATTGAGGTAAGTTTTTATCATGTGCACAGTATACCCAACGTTCCAGACTGTAGTTTGGTTGAATATTTCGAATTTCGAGAAGATTTAAACAATTCCGACGAATTTCAATGGTCCAGTCCTTCTCAATGTTTAAGGCTCTTTTCATGCTTAAAATGATTTACACATCGAGAATCACTTATTCCAAAATTACAAATCGAATCATTGGACAGACGTAATGATAAAGTGGTTAATTCTCACTGACACATATTAGGTTTGGCGTCAAAAAGAAGCTGCATTACAAAGCAGTCAGCTTACGCGACTGTTGCTGGCCAATTCGGCTCATGAAGTCAGAACTCCTTTGAACGCAATCATTAACTACCTGGAGATTGCGCTCGAGGGCGCATTAGACCAAGAAACAAGAGAGAACCTGGCCAAATCACACTCTGCCTCCAAGTCACTAATTTATGTCATCAACGACTTACTAGACTTGACGAAAACTGAAGAAGGCATGGATCTGGTCAAGGATGAGATTTTTGACCTCCCGGCTGCTATAAGAGAGGCAACCGACTTGTTCAAGGGCGATATGAAGCGGAAGGGCATTGAATATACCGTGGTCGAGCATCCTGGTGTTCCACAATTTGTGCATGGAGACCAAAGGCGTGTTAGGCAAGCAGTTGCTAATATTACGGCAAACGCTGTGCAACACACATCGAGTGGTTTTGTTCGTGTTGAAATCTGGTTGCAAGAAATCATTGATAATAGAGTCAATATTGAAATCATTGTTGAAGACAGTGGCGCCGGTATGTCGAATCAAAAACTTGATACGATTTTTCGAGATCTCGAACAAGTTGATGGCGATCCTTCGTTTGAAGATGAAGGCAATGAGAAAGCTCTCATTGATGGTAATCGCACTATAGGTCTTGGCCTGGCAATGGTAGCTAGAATTGTCAGGAATATGGACGGCCAGCTACGTTTGAAGTCAGAAGTTGGAAAGGGTTCACGATTTGTCATCCAGCTACCCTTCTTCCTTCCTGACGATGATTCACAAAATTCCGGGAATCAAGAGAAGGCTGCTTTCTTAAGTTCATCATCTGTATCACCACCGCTCGCGACGCCACCTCCTGCAGGTACCCCTGGCGAGGTCACCCTTGTCAAGTCATCAGGACATCTCAAACAATCAACCCCCGATCCTTCTTCGCTTGCTCGCAAGCACAGTATAGAAGAGATTGCAAGTTTGCACAGCTACAAAAGTAATAACAGTAGTAAAGCTAGCGGAAGGAGTGATGTGGATCGATTCATTGATGCTATCTCTGGCCCGGTTGGTAATACACAGGGAGAACCTTTGCAGCGTGTTAATAGCAGAGACCGACACAGTTCAAATAGTATGCCTGAAACTACATTTACTTCGAGATCAGGTCAATCCCCAAAGTTGAAACGTTCGGCCTCGTACACCACGCATGAACGTCTCAAATTGGAAGAGTCAAGAAGCGTGGGGAGCGGAACTGTTGCTGGCAGCAAAACACCAGTGAGAGCCGTCAGGATGCCAGACGAATTTGCGGAAAGCGCGAACGACACAAATGCTCCTCCAGTTGCCGCGAAGGTGCAATTCAATCTTCACATCCCATCAACATCTTCACAAGGGGGATCACACGAAGACGCGCCGCATGAAGCATCACCCAAAATAGAGTCAAAACCTTTAAATACAGAGAATTTGAAGGTTTTGGTCGCCGAGGATGATCCCGTTAATAGTCGTATAATCAATAAGAGACTGGACAAAAGTGGCCATGAGGTTTACCACACCATAAATGGGGAAGAGTGCGCAAGTGCCTACGGAGACAATGTCAAGAAATCCGCTGCAGCGACTTCATCGGCAGATAAACGTTTTGACGTAGTACTTATGGATATGCAAATGCCGATAGTCGATGGACTTACTTCAACAAAGATGATCAGATCATTCGAAAAAACTAATCTCGATCTGTCGCCTCGAGCCAAGCTCAATGGAAGAGTACCTATTTTTGCCGTATCAGCTTCTCTTGTTGAGCGTGAACGGCAAACATATATCGATGCTGGCTTTGACGGCTGGGTATTGAAGCCCATCGACTTCAAACGGCTGAACGTTTTACTAAAAGGCATTGTTGATAGTAAAGTTCGAGATTCGTGCTTGTACCAACCAGGAAAATGGGAGCGCGGAGGTTGGTTTCATAAAATGCAACCGTCAGCATTGCAATCCTCAACATCACCCTCCAACGAATCGCCAGTACAGAACCCCCCTCAGAAAGGACCAGAACCTCTTCAACCTGATAAGGATTCACTTGGCAGTGACACTGGCTCTACAACTCCGAGGGGAGACACAAAGCGGCCATTGATATACGATGAAAGGCTGGATGCTACTAACGAGGCTCTCAATGCTACGGCCGATATTGATGTGGGACCTCACTACAATCTTTCGACTGCTGATGAAAGACCTGTGACGGATGTTAGTACCGAAGGTGACACACCAGCCGTCGATAACTCTCCTGGAGAGAATACTGGAGAGAATACTAAGCCTGAAACTGCCAATGATGCATCAGCTGGTGTTGATTCTGAACCCACTACCGAAAGCAATCTTGAAAAGGTTGATGTCTCAGGTACTGCGGAACCACCGCCTGATCCCACAAAGGTTGAAGAATCAACCACAGAAACCACGAATAATTCTGAAGTGCCCGAGTCAACAGACTGATCGGATCGGTAAGGTGACCTGCATCATCTTAATCCAAATAATAATTTTCTACTATATTTTCTGTCCAGTTTTTCTTACAAAAATTCCTTCTTTCACGTCATGACTGGAACATGAGATTTCGGCGATTAGAGGTTTTACGCACATATACAGGGTGGCGCATAGCATACCCTTTGATTTCATAAATGGGAGCGGGAGTTTTGTTTTGGAGTAATACCGTACCATGTACGAGTTTTTTTTTGTCATTTTTGAGGAAAAGAGGGCAGGAGGGGGTGGACGATAAACTTCTGTTTATTATATTATGTGGACATGCCGAAACGGACGGATGCATGTGGAATGTAAGCTTTGGGACTTCATAGATGAGGGACTGATGGGAATGGTTCTCTAGAAGGGGAGCATTCGATACTCTTTTCTCATCTGATGGAAGATCGTGCTTTTTGGAAGATGAGCGCGGACTTTTAAGGCGGTTGGATGGTCCACGTTTGATTAATGTGCATCTGAAATTGCATGGCTTGCGGGTTGGGTGATTGCAAAGAAGGAAAGAAATGCGATGTGTATGAGTGATTGAGTTGTGTATATTAGTTTTGGCTTCTTGATTAAGAAGCCAGACAATGATGGGAAGGAATGTGTTGATTAGGAAGGATAAGATGAGCTGGTGGCTGAGATACGTGATATGAGAGCGAGCATGCGTAAGGATACAAGCATAGCGTTGGGGCGGGATGAAATTAAATGAAGTGTAGATTTTTCAGGAGGGGGAAAAGAAGAGAGAGGGGAGGAGGATGTATAATTCGTACTTGACATGATATGTATTTATGATTGATGTTGGTCAATGAGAAGATGGGAGAGTAAAGAGTAGAGATGGGAAGGGCCGAACGTGGAGGAGTGGGAAGAGAGTGCTAAAAGAGGTTTCGCGCAAGCGAGGACTTAGATGAAATGATTGAATGGGAAATGCACATCCGACAACAATATGAAATGAAATGAAATATGCAAAATGAAACTATTTGAACGTTTTTTGATGCAGAGAAATTGTTAAGTGGAGTGGAGTGGAGTGGAGTAACATGTGTGAATATTCTAAATGATGCAATGAGTGTGGTATATAGCACAATATAAATATAGTCTTACAAGTAGTTACTTAGTGACATAAAAAGTTAGTTATTTATTATTTCAAACAATCAACTAAGCTAATAACTTGTGAGCAGATCTTGTATCGTTCCTGTGTTTTCATATGCTTCTAGATTGTGAGATTGTAAAATATTATCCATTTCAAGTAGATACTATAATAAGCCTGTGTATATATATATACCTATGTCTTTATATACCTATTCCCTTACCACCTATCTATCTATCTATCTATCTATCCCCAACCCCAACCCCATCCCCAAATAATCAAATTCAAATTCAGATTCACATCAAAGTCCAACGAACCCAGCCTAAATAAAGCCAACCTAAAGAATTCAAACCAAATGAAACCTATACACCACTCTCCTCCTTCCTCTCCGTTCTCGCCTCCTCACAAGTGCGGCACCCCCGCGCTCGCCAACCCCAAGTTAACAATACTGACCACGCCCTCTCCGAGAATCAATCCGCTTGCCAAGACGACGATGGGGGTTTCTTCTCGTTTGCGATAGGAGCGCCAGTAGAGATTGATAAAGCCGCCTATTGCGCGGGCGAGCGTGAAGGCGGGGGTGTTATACATGCCTTTTTGTGGTGGTTAGTTTATTAATTGGTTGGATGATTGGTTGGGGGAGAGAGGAAAAGAAAAGAGGGGAAGCAAAAGAAATGAAGTAAACATACCAACAGCCACCGCGATTCCCCCAGGAACATAATCATACCACCAAACTCTCTTACCCTTGCCCCATATCCTTAAAAGCGTCGTTCCCGTAAAAATAACTGCTGCTCCCATGGCCCACTGTGCAGCCATATCCGGTAATCCTTTTCCAGTGACCAATCTCGCCGTGAAAATCCACACATACCCCGTTGGAACCTGGAATAGATCCCCCGGAACCTGATATACGTTTGTATAAAGCTTATAGATGAGCGCACTAACCACTGCACCGACTGCACTCCCAATGATTTGACCCCAAAATTGTGCATTTGGAGCTGCGCCCAACAAATGACCAGTTTTGAGATCTTGCATTAGATCGCCTGCTTGAAGAGCGCCTGCTTCGGAGACGGCGCCGGCGACGAGATTTATGAGGATGGAGTTTTTATTGCTTTGGGGAATTATGAGAGCGAAAAATAATTGGGCTAATTTTGAGATTCCAGAGACGGGGTTAAGATCTGTTTCTCCGAGGGCGCGGACACCCATGATAGAGAGAATAAGGGCTACTGGGACGGAGAGGATGGTTGCGTAGAGGGGGATTAATCCTTCGAATACGATGCGGATGCTAAATATGCAGAAGACAATGGAGAGGATGAGGCCTATCCAGACAGTGCGGGTATTGACGAGATGCTCTAAAGGGGCGTCGGGTTCTGGTAGATCTTTCAATTCTGGCTGAAGATTGTTGCTGGAAAATGATGATCCGTTACTAGTAATTGATACGTTTTGCTCTCTACGACCAGAAGATTCTTCTCTGTTTATAGGCGCATATCCCGTGTTCGATTGTGGTGCTCCAAATGAAAGAAGACCCAACCAATCCCGTCTCTTGATCTTTTGTTGAGCCTCACTAACATAATCTCCGCTGTTATTGATCAAAGGGCTTAGAGCAATGTATCCAAGACTGATTACAGAGTCCGCTAACATTATAGCTAACGAAATCCAAACAATCCAGCCTTTGCTTCCTGTTTCCCAATCACTGACTGGCCCAGGAGCCCAACCCCTGTTTTTCGCGAGAGGAGAAAGTATTCCCCAGCCAACGATAGCTCCAAGAAGCATATGTGTGGTTGTCGCTGGACCCATAATGATTCCCTGTCCGACGTATGCAAGAGAAGGATTTAAAGTCCATAACCAATTTTGCGCAATTGCTGTTCCGAAAATTGGTAATTTCCGCAATATGGGAAAGAAATAAGTTCCAAGTGTATAGAGTCCTGATATTCCAAATGAAATCACTAACAACTTAACCTTTGATTTCCAGCTGCTACCTTCAGCTTTGCTCACCTCCTCAACATCCGCCACACTCTCATCTGTATAATTTCTAGACTCTCTTTCGTTTATACCATCTGTCCCATCTAGGTCTTCGGAAGTCGAGATGGGCGGTCCACCTGCAGTAGTCTCTTTCCCATGTAAAACGCCAATCATCAACGCAGTCGCTGTACCGGATGGAAATTTCAATTTCTCTTTAATAATAACTTGTCGTCTCAACGGAACCGCGAACACCACCCCGAAAAAGCACAATCCCAACGACCAGAGGATAAGTTTCCAAGTACTTAAGAAAATTGGCCCTTGTTCTTCCTTCTTCAACATATAATTCAATGCCGGCATAACCCCCACGAATCCACAACCCAATGGCATTGTCCCCATTGATCCAGCGACCGTTTGTACCAATACATTTTCCACCGGCGTAAATGGTAGATCAAGATGCTTCGACAGAGTTTTGAAGAACGCGAATCCGATCAGGGAAGCCGGCATGGCCATAGAAGAAACCCAACCGGTCTGCAGACCAAAATACATGTTGGAAAAACATATTATCAATCCGACGCCCAGTCCAACGAGTATACCTCGCACTGTGAAATTCTGTCCTTCTTCCGCGTGTGCAGCTATGAATCTTCGTTGTTCGCTTCGTCTACGACGGAGTGCATTGTCATTGTCTTCAGATGTGCGAGTGGAGATTGATTGGTAGTCCGGAGACTGTGTTGTGCCTCTATCGGGCGCCATTGTTGTTGTGGAGTCGGTCGAGAACCTTGAGGAATTGAATCAGTTAATAAAGATATATATATGTACATGGAAGCGATATAGCTGCCGTCTAAATATCACACTAGCCGGGACAGATGAATGATATAGCCATCATCGGTCGGTTGGAAGTGAGTGCAAACAATTAGTAGAAAAGGTTATGGTCGATGCCTATCGCTGACCAATGCCGGGATTCGCGATTACAATAAGGTAGGGATCATACTTCGTCATGCAGATTATGTCCCGAGCTTATCTCCAAGATATCTCCGAAAGAGAGTGAAGGATTGATGATTATAAATATCTCCAATCCGGATAGATAATGAACAATGGAAATGATTTATCAATGTAAATACACCAAGAAATCTCAAGTGAAGATTCTTGAAAAGAAGAACTTGCAAGTATTAGCTAGAATTCATTCATATTCGGGGTATCGAAATCTCTAGGTCACACAAATAGCATATAATATGGGAAATGGTTGTGGAGATCTACTTTATCTGAACTACGAGCATACTCAATACTTCCCAAAAGTATGGACTTACTACTCCAGCGAGAGCTATTCTTGCAAGGCCAACCTCAGCGGAACCGACAATCTTTATCCTACTGCCAAGGGTTTCATGGTACTCTTAACTTCAGCAAATCATCCCATTTTACCATTTCATCTACCAACCAGGCAGTTTATCTCATCTTCCATGTTTGAGATTTGGCAGCCTCCTCACCATCGAACTTCCAGTCCATGCCAATAGTTAGAGCTCTTGAATAATCATCGGCAACTAGATACTCTAACTCTCCACTGATCTGCTCACCTGCCTTATGTTCCTTTGGTTGATATTTGGCAGTATCGATGAGCAACACACCTTGTTTCCAATGTGTTACCTTAGCCTTTGGACCTGTTGTAAATGCAATTCCTTTTTTCTCCTGCTTGGCCCATTCCTCAGCCTTTGCATTCTCAGGAACCTCGTCTTTTCGTGAGGGCATGAAGAAGCTGTCAAACCAAATCATGAAGCCATCCAATGTGTCGACATCCTGAGTGAGCTTCGACTCCCATTTTCTTTTGAAAGTAAGATCTTTGACCGTGGTTGTGTGCAGACTTAATTGCAAGAATGGGAAAGGTTCGCCACAGATCGTACTAGCTGGCATATCGAGGACTTGTGTATCGTCGTGAATTCCAGCTTGCATTGCTTTCATATCGAATCCATAAACATCTCTCCAGAAATCGATGTGATCGGCTACGTAATCTGGATCCGCAACGGGAGCAACCCACATGTTCATGTGACTTGGAACCATTAATCCATCAGGCTTCAAGTACTTGTCTCGAGCCCAAATGACACTGTCGAGCATAGCTTCATATAGCAAGCAATAGCCCATCCATTCACTAACGATAATGTCGACGTGTTCAACAGGGAGATTGACTTCCTCAACTTTACCCTTGAGTAAAGTAATTTTATCTGCGAAGCCGTTGTTGAAAATGTTCTCGCGGGCTTTCTCAATGATGTCCGAATTATCGACACCAATCACTCGAGCTGCACCAGCTTTGGCACAGAACATACTAAGAATACCTGTGCCACAACCTACATCCAAAACAGTCTTTCCGGCAAAAAGAGACTTGTTGTTGTAGATGAAGTCACGATAGGCATCGGTACGAACAGTATCTTTCAACATGGTCTCATGGATATCTGTAAGACGTTAGTTAGGCAGTATGGAGTGGAAGGTGGGCAGATATCTGACCATTGTATGAATAAGAAGTAAAATATTGGCTATCATCATCTCGCTTCTCCTCCTTTTTGGCTTCAGAAGGTCCCGCGGACTTGTTCCAACGTTCATCCAGAGTTTCATTGACAGTGTTTCTGTAATTTTCAAATTGAGATTGAATTCTTCTGAGCTCCTCTTCTAACTCAGATACACGAGTGACGAGGGGTCCGGATTCGACTTCCTTGCCATTTCCTGCGCCTTCATTTTGTTCGATGATATCAGGAAGATCATCAAGGCAAAAAAGAAAAGCATCGTCCTCCAAAACTGGCTTGAGGTATTTCTCATCTTCCAAGTCGGCCTGGGAAATATTTTGAGAAGGCTTCTCACCACTTTGAGTCTTAGATCTTAGATAATTGGTAAGTTTGATACTGCCATAGAAGTCTAGGCCCAACTTTTGTCTGACTTCTAAGAAATCAAAGCCATATTTCTCCTTGCAATGTTGAATCATAGCAATCATATCGGAGAAAACTTCATCATCTAACAATGATACAAATTGGTTTTGTTCTTCTTCTTCTGGCTCAGCATCTTCCCATCCCTCATCATCTTTCAAATCAAGGATATCAGATGCCTCAGAACTACCAGAATCTGATGGTGCATACTTCTCGATGTCTGGAACCTGGGCAGACATTTTATAAGATTTTATGATGTATTCTCACTTTTTTGCCAGAGAACAATAATAACGGAGATTCTGGTAAAGAGATATCAAATGTAAATAAATTAATTACTCGAAAATCATCTGGATTTTTTTCATGTGGGATTAAGGATTTTTTTTCAAGTCACTATCAGCACGTGTTTTTTTATGATAAGAGTCGAGGATCGGAAACTACACTACTCAGGAATGCATCAGATAGAGTGAAGAAGATGGACAGGTATCAAATTCAAGAACTGTTTTATATGCACCCATAACAGCATAATATAAATGTGCCATCGTTGATCTCAATAGCAGATTGATGATTGAAAGAAGACTATGCAATATAAACTTCATCTATCAAAAACCAAAGACTTCCACAATGAACATCCCATCGTCAACGTTGCTGGGGAAATAAACCAGGATGGCTCGCTTAAACTTCGGGCAAACTCCTAAATATCAATAGACACTGGTAAGGTCAAGGTTCGATGGAAAGTGGAAGGAAGGTCCTAGGATGAAATCATATTATGATTGCATACATCTTTCAAAAACGGTTCAACTACATATTAAAAATGTCACGATATTGACAGATGATCTCATACATGTTCATGCCAATTTCACAAGTTATTCGGAAAATCCTTGTTGAATGCCAACACATCGGATTTTGATCGAGCCACCGTAAACACAAGAAGAGAAGCTCAAGATAATCGCAAACAATTTGACCTCAAGTACAAAACATGTCCTTTCTATTCGGGCGAAAGCCGCGTCCCAATACGGTGGATCTATCGAAGCAGGCCAGGGACTTGATATTGAAGCTCGATGGCCCTGGAGGTGCTGTGAAGGTATATATATTTTTTGGCGCATTGCAGTCAGCAGTGAATTATGGATGAACTGACTATTCGACAGGCTGAAGAGCTGGCAAAAGCTCTATCTCAAATGAAATTCATTCTACAAGGAACACAAGGTTGGTTGATTTGTTCATTTATGACTTGCCTTGCTGCAAATTACTGATTACCTCTCAGAAATAGAAAGCACCCCCGAGCAAGTACATCAGCTGGTAACTGGAATGATCCAGGAAGATCTACTTTACCTCCTCGCCGTTAATCTGTATCGTCTTCCCTTCGAATCGAGAAAAGATGCCCAGGTTATATTCTCTTATGTCCTACGGTTCCGACCCGTAACAGCGTCACCCAAGAGTGAACCTATGGCGCTTAGTTATGTTATAAATAATAGACCGGAAGTACTGGTTGAACTATGCAATGGCTACGAACATAAAGAAAGTGCTACACCTGCTGGTACAGTTCTACGAGAGGTTCTAAAGAGTGATGCTGCAGCGGCAATCATTTTGTACAACGATATCAAGGAGGGAGATGCTAGCACCAAAGGCTTGACTGCTATACAACCCGAAATCAAACAGACTGGAGAGGGAGTCTTCTGGAAATTCTTCAATTGGATTGACCAAGGATCATTCGAGGTTGGAGCAGATGCTTTCACAACTTTTAGGGTAGGTAATGCATTCATTTTGGAAAGAATAAAGCTAATGCAGGTACAGGAACTGTTGACCAAGCACAAACAAATTGTAGCACAATATTTGGCAACCAATTTCGATATGTTTTTTGACAAGTACAACAATATTCTAGTCCAATCAGCAAGTTATGTTACCAAAAGGCAGTCCATAAAACTTCTCGGTGAGATTCTTCTGGATCGAGCCAATTATGCTGTCATGACAGCATATGTTGACCGAGGAGAACATTTAAAGATATGCATGAATCTTCTTCGGGATGAGAGGAAGATGGTACAATATGAAGGATTCCATGTCTTCAAAGTTTTTGTGGCAAACCCACATAAATCCATGGCTGTACAGAGGATACTGCTCAACAACCGGGAAAGGTTATTGAATTTCTTAAAACATTTCTTAGAAGATCGTACAGATGATGAGCAATTCATTGATGAGAGAGAGTTCTTGATCAAGCAGATAGAGAGAATGCCACCGCAACCTGTTGAGCCGGCTCAAAAGCCTGCACTTTTAATGGGTCGTTAAATGGAGGAGATGATGGAAGAAGCTAGAGAGGAGTCGATAGACATTGATGAAACGAGACATATGGGTGGGCATTGATTGCTGGATACGACATGAGCATAATCGGAGTTGGGAGCATTAGGTTTTGAATGAATGAATGAATGAATGGATCGGCGGCAATCATTGTACACAGCACAGGCGTTTTTACAATTGTGGTGCTATTAATTTCAAAGATAGATCATGAGGTCTCAAATAAGAAAAGAAATCAGATACAATCAATATTCAAATCAATTGTCTAGTGATACGATATTTGAATTCTGTCACGGAGAATGAAAGGGCTGATACATGCATGTACTTGAGGTGAATTGACATCGCTTACCTAAGCCAAATCCAGACTAGTGGCCGTCGCGTTTGAACGCGAAAGGCTGAGAAGTAATTGTAACTATTAATCAAGTTGACTTCCGTGAGTGTCCAACGAAACAAATCACAGTTTCTGCATCAACAGTTTCACCGGGAAAGAACCTGAAAGGTCGCAAATTCCAATTTTAGATTATTATCTGGCCCCAATCATTGAACTTTCCCCAAGCGCCAATTCGCATCTGTAGTCTTAAAGATGCAGGCGCAATACCGTTCCTATCAACAAGGGACACCTTCACGGGCGTCTCACGGTGGTGGTAATAGAAGAGGTATAGGTATGTACATGCTCGAAATAAATATTGCGCCCAGTTATCTCATATTAAACGTTGATTTTCCCTATTAACGATTCCTCTTTTTCAAACAATTACATCTTTCTTCTCAGCCTGCTATCCATCGAGTCAAACTTTGCCCTGCGTTGTTGAAAACATATCCTCTTGTTTATAAATTTATTATCTTGAACTGAGCTAATGCGCAATTGTAGCACCTGCGGCCGCGGCACAAACTAGAGAACAAATGTCGGCCCAACAATATCAACAGCAGCAGCAGCTTATCCTCAAGCAAAAGGAAGCGGCGAAAAAGAGAGCAAGCGAACCAACGGATAAAAACATTCCAGATGGAGTAGAGGATGTGATTATTGGGGATGGCGTGCAGAGATACAGAGAGTTGAGAGACATTGAAAGAAGATTGGATGCGACAATGACTAGGAAGAGACTGGACATCCGGGAAAGCGTGGATAGGAATGTTAAGGTTTGTTATCAAGAGTATGGGCAGTCCGGGCAGGGCTGATTATTTACAGAGACATCGAACGTTAAGACTTTGGATCAGTAATACTGTGGAAGATCAACCTTGGCAATCGGATAATACACTGGATGTCGATGCTTTTGATTTTAGCACCAATATGGACTCTTCATTTCGGGTTAAGATCGAGGGAAGATTATTGGATGATGATGAGGAGGAAAGTGATGATAGCGACGATGAGGATGAGGAAGCGGAAGCGGGAGCCGATTCAATGGATGTGGACAAGAAGAAGAAGACGAGACCTCCGGGACGACTGTATAAATTTTCACATTTCTTTAAATCTATGACAGTCGACTTTGATCGAAATCAACGAACCAAAGACGGAGCAGATCAGAGTGTGGAGTGGAAGAAACCTAGTGTTGCGCCAAATGCCAATGGTCTTCCAGCAGCTGCAGACTTTGACCAATTAGAATTCAAGAGGTCAGGTGACGAGAATTGCAATATTGTCATCAACCTGGTCCGCGATGAAACACCCGAAAGATTTCAATTAAGTCCAGTTCTCGCAGCTATCTTGGATACTAATGTTGGTACTCGTGAAGAAGTCACAATGGGTATTTGGAGTTATATCAAAGCCATGGGACTTGCGGACGATGATGAAAAGAGAACCTTTGAGCTTGACGAGAGACTCAGACCAGTATGTTGATTACTAGATTTTTTCCGATCATCCACACTAACACTATATAGCTTTTCCCAGGTCGAGAAAAAGGATATTGGCCCCAGCTTGGTGATGCCATTATCTCACATACTACAATTCTCCAGCCAGTTCGTCTCCATTACACTATCCGTGTAGACAAAGAGTTCCACGAAAACCCTCAACCAACGATCTACGACGTGCAAGTAACAGTTGAAGATCCTTTGAAAGCTGCTCTCGAAGCTGCCACCAGAAACCCCGCTTATGCTGCCAATCTTCTTGAGCTCGCAACATTAGACAAACAACTAGCGGTTATGGTCCAAGCCATTGCTAATTCCAAATCAAAACACTCATTCTTTGATGCCCTTTCGAAAAATCCTACAGAATTTATTAGAAAATGGATCAGTTCGCAAAAGAGAGATTTGGAAATCATTGCTGGTGATGGAATGAGAGGCGGTGGAGAGGATGCTACAAGCGATGAATGGAGAAAGGGGGGTGCAGATGGTGTTTGGGGAAGTACCAATGTAAAGGAACTTGCCTCTTTAATGATCAGTACTGGAAAAGTCAGGACTACGGGTTAGAATCTTGAAGCATGTTTTCTGGAGGTAGATAGACTAGTAAGGTATGGGATTAAGATTGAAGATCGGTTTTCATTCATGATATCAAGACAATTTGGAGGGAGTTAGGAATTGATTCGGTGGAATGGATGGAATGATCTTCTGTTTGTGTGTAATAATTATTGTATGGATAAATGGGGGATTCCTAGAAATAGGCGATGAGACGCGAGATGAGATCAAAACGAAGAACGAGTATTAGCATAAATGACACTTTCAAGACAATGACTTATTAGCACCTGATACTGACACCTGGGTGCTTGAAGGAGATACGGAGCTGTTCGGCGATAAGATAACACTGGGTTAATTGAATTGATATTTGCTCGCTCAAATTTGGTGTTGGTACAGTACGATTGAATGCCAATCAAAATAAACGATCCTACCTATGTAGCTAGGCAGATCTGACGAGGGCGTTTGGTTTGTCTATTGTAGTCTCTATTTACTAATTGCTTGTTTCTGTACATAGCTTAGCTCCCGTCCAGAAGACAACATTGAGGATTTGGACTTATGTAGTGGAAGCAAACTCACTAAATTTCAGTCTCTCTCGAGTCTGTTGTTCATTCACACCGAGTACCTAGGTAGATAGCTACCCCTGCTACCGTGTAAACTCGGCAACTCCGGAATACATCAAGCCTTTCTGAATCTAAGGTTATCTCCTATATCCTATTTCCAGATGCAAAGAATCTGCACACTTGCCAGTAGGTATCCATCTAATCATCTCGTACATCTAAAGCTTATTCCATAATAGGAAAGATGCGTTTTGCTTTCGTTCGAATTTATAAGGTGATACGTCACGATGCAGACGAGCTGAGCTCCATTAACCCCTCATTCCTCGAAGCGCTTTAGAAAGTAACAACAGATCCTTCCCCTCCTTCCTCTATTTCTTCTATAAAGCTTCTCAATCATACAAATGAAGAGTTCATTCCCTCTCCAAACTATACTCCAAACCTCAAGATCAAGATTCTATTCCTCACAAACCCATCGTTCAATATCTCTTCTGCAAGTAAAGCTTCACAGTTCTCCTTCGTCTTCTATCTCAAACTCGGGTCTTTTACCACACCAACAGCGTATCACGGGATCCAACAACTTTTCTCGTTTTTCTCATACCCATTCCCGATTTACGAAATCGTTCCATACAAACCCATCACGTTCGAACAAGAATACAAAAACATCCGCAAACATGTCACCCGTCCATTCCTTGAAACCAGGCAGTACAGCTTTGATCACGGGCGGCGCCTCAGGAATCGGATTTAGTTTTGCGGAAAAATGTGTAAAGGCGGGATTGAATGTTATTTTGGTTGATAATAATGCAGATAATTTGGGGGCTGCGCAGACGTGGTTGGGTGGGTTGCATGGAGAGGGACAGCTGGCAGGGTTGAATATTGATGTTGGAGTTGAGGAGGAGTGGGAAAGTGTTAAGGATGTTGTGGAGGGGGATTTTGATGGTATGTTTCTAACTTTTCTAGGGGGGGGGGGGTTGTTTTTGATTCTGGATAATGGATACATGAGTTTCTACCTATTCATTGAATCGAAGAATAGAACGGGGAAATAGAAAGATAATTAAGCAAATAAACTAACCGCTCCCAGGGACCCTCCACATCCTCTTCCTCAACGCAGGCTTTTCCACCCGCGGTTCCTTCGCCACCCCCTCTTCCTCCTCATACTTCAGTAAAATCCTCTCCGTAAACCTCTTCGGTGTCATAAACGGCATCAATACTCTCCTCCCCTTCATAACATCCCACACCAACCCCTCCTCTATCATCATCACCGGTTCCAAACAAGGAATTACCAATCCCCCTGGAAACCCTGCTTACAACGCCTCAAAAGCCGCTGTCAAAACGCTCGCCGAACATCTATCCTACGATTTGCGCGAGAAGAAGAATATAGGTGTTCATCTCCTCGTGCCAGGGTGGGCATACACCGGCCTGACAGGGAGCGGCTCGCCTTTTATCGTGAATGCAGACAAGGTAGAGAAAGTGGGATTGGAGAAGAAACCCAAGGGAGCATGGTCCGCGGATCAAGTGACGGAGTATTTGCAAGAGAAGATGGGAGAAGGGAAATTCTATATTGTTTGTCCGGATGGGGATGTGAGTGAGGAGATGGATCGCAAGAGGATGGCGTGGGCAGCGGGGGATGTGGTAAATGGGAGGTTACCGTTGAGTAGGTGGAGGGAGGAGTACAAGTCGGAATTTGAGGAATTTGTGAAGAAGGATTTGTGAGGGGTGTGATTGGGGTTACTGTGAATGAGAAGGATGAGGGGTTTAGATAGGATGAAAAGTGAATGATTAGCTATTGCTATTATCATTGCTATTATCGTTGATATAAAGTGATGAGATGCTATCCATGAAAAAAGTATGTCGACAAGACGAGATGATGTTAACCCTCACATCCCAAAGAAACCCCCATCCCTACCCAACATTCCTAACTTATCAGAGGGCAAATCAAATTGATGTAAATCGAAGAATATCAAATGAGTATGTATCTATCATCTATATGCAACTAATTAATTATGAAAAATTCATATTCTAATTAGATATTCCAACTATATACATAGTATATAGTACATAGTATATAGCATGTAGTACATCCGAATCTAACACATCTGATGAATATATTCAACTTACTCATTCATATATTGATGTATTTATACACCTGTCTAGATACATACCTATCCATCTATCTATTCATTTACCTATCCATATAATTACCTATTTATCTATTTATTCATCTATCTATCTATACAATTACCTACCTACCTACCTACCTACCTACCTACCTATTCAAACTTCCTCGCTCCCCTCCACTCCCTCCACTCCCCTCCACTCCTTTCCACTTCCCTCCCCTCTCCCTCCCCTCCTTTTAAAAGAGAAAATAAAAATAAGAAACGAATTGAGAAATAAATTATTATATACACACATATATACATATATACACACACACATTTCAAAAAGAAGAAAAAACCATACAAATCTCCAAATAATACACAAATCAATTGATTTAATAGTTTCCCATCTCCTCTTCTCTTCTCTCTCCTTTTCTATTACATCACATCACAACTCTTCTCAATTCATCTCATCTCATCTCATCTACTCTGTCTGCACCACTCTTCTCAATTCATTTTTGTTTTTCTCAAAAGTCTTTCTTATATCCGTATTTGATTTACAGATGCATTTATATATGCATTTACCTTCTTTCTTCAAGATCTTACTCCGTACTAAACCACGCCATACTACTCCATCCATCCATTCTACCATCCCATCCCATCCCATCCTATCTTGGTTTTCCTCTTTCTTTTTCCTCTTCCTCTCTTCCAACCCCTCCATTCTCTTCTATCTTCCCCTTCCCCCTTTCACACCTCTCTAAAACTCAATCAACACATCAATCAAACATCCTACCATCCCACCCCATCCCATCTCTCTCCTAAATCCCAATATGAAAAAATTCCCTGAAACGCGATCGATTCCCAATCCCGCATTTCGAATTTTCAAATCCCAAAAGATACCAAAAAAGAAAAAAAGTACTGCCCATCTGTCCATATCCATTGTATTCCAGCAAGCTAAGTACCTAGTAGGTAGCGAATATAATTATTAAAAAAAAAACCTCTCTCCCGTCCATCTTTCATAGTTCTCAAACACGAGCTGCCACTTGTAACAAAAGAAAAGAAGTAGGATGGAATACGTCGAAATCAAAGATCCGCCGTGTACAAAAAAGCTGAGATGTGATAACGCTCAAAAGGGAAGAGAGAAAACTCTTCAAAATACCTAAGTCTTAATTACATTTGCTTCACAGATGCAAATATATAAAGACCATTGGGTTGTTCTCCGTCTCGACAAATCGTGGCAAAGAAATGAGTGATGGATGCACGGCGAGTTTGAAGGCGAAAGTTGAGAGAGTAATGTAGCAGCTGAGAGTTATGGCTACGAAGAAAAGTAAAAGTAACAGAAATTCATGTCAAGTCGTTATAAATTGCTTCCAGCTCCATGAAACCGAGAAAGAAAGGGCTATCAAATGCTGCATTTTAGATGCACCAACCAAGTAAAAAAATCCCGAGACCTTGCGCCACGCTAGCAAATGCCGATCGATAAATGGACAATGATTGGAAAATACATCATTTGATGTGTGACAAATGGGATAAGTTTATGGACTCGTGTTTTTCTAGAATTGCCGTGTCGCGGAAGTCTCGGAACCTAGGTCCAAACGCTTTCCCACCCTAAATGACTCGAAAACTCGATGAATCTTATTCTTGAGCCCCACGGATAACCATTAGAAGGGTGTTGAAAGTCCGTTCTTAGATTGCCGTTTACTGAAACGATGTGACTTCTTCTTAGCGTCGCCTAAGGATTCTTCTCCTCCAAGGCTAGCTTGACTCTTGGTTAAATGATTTCGACCTGACCGATCACCAGGATCATAACTATTTTGATAGATGCTTGGTCCATGAAGGGTGCTAGTAGGACTCGTGGCGGCGGATGACATATCAAATCCAGTGTCACTGTTATAAGAGCCAACCATATTTTGTGATAAAGCCATATCTTTGGCTTTCTCAATGGCTTCAATCCATTCCTGTGCCGATGTTTTCGAAGGATCAATGGCGGTTGTTGAAGTCTTGGTATCTTCGAATGTATAATGTGTCCCGCGCTATTTATGATTAGTATTGGATAGATTATTGTGCTTGGAACAACTTACTGTGTCCACGCACCACACAGATTGACCTTTGGAATCAGATTGCACTCTACACGAGCAACCGGAAGCTAGTAAGGAAATTTCTGTTTTAGTTTTCTTCTCGTCGCCTCCCGCAGCAGCAAGAATTATTCTCGCACTTGATGTCACCATCACAAGCCTTGCTCTTTTCTTGGTCGTTGAACCTCCGAAAAATCTAGCAAATCCTCCTTTCTTTTCGGGAACCTCTTCACCGTTCCTTGAGTTGGGACTATGTGGTAACGGCGACGATAGAACCATTAAGTTTCCCAATTTCAAGATGCGTTCATTGTTCCGTGTCAATACGGGCGACCATTCAATATCCAGCTGAGTTGGTGGAGGAAGTTCAGTGATTATCCTGGGTTGTGGCCTTGAGTTGCCGTTTGATGGAGTAGGTTGCGGTGGTACTCGTGATGCTGGCGGTGTGGTCGAAAATGTATTGTTGAGCATGATCAATTGAGGTTCTTGTGCCGGTGGAACATAAGGCTTTAATCTGGGGGCTTTAACCTTCCACAGTTCGCGACTGAATCTAACTCCATCAAAAAATTCATGGTTTTTGATGTGCTCGATCGATAATCTTCTTTGTGGGTCAAGAATAAGGAGCCTTTCGACAAGATCTCTAGCAGCAGGGGGGAATCCTGGGGGAAACTCATACTCCAAACTGACAATCTTTTGAAAGGTTAAGTATTCATTCGCAGCTTTGAATGGAGGTCGTCCAGCCAAGAGCTGGTATATAATACACCCGTACGCCCATAAATCACTAGCTTTGCAAGCATTTTTATCCGTCAACAATTCAGGGCTGACGTACTCTGCTGTCCCAACAAAAGAACTTGCTCTTGTCGATTCATCTTCGCTGTTGCTAGTTATGTCATATGGCTTCGATAAGCCAGGAGCGGGGAGTAATTTAGCAGTTCCAAAGTCCGTGATCTTAATGTGCATTTTATCATCCAATAGAACGTTTTCTGGTTTCAGATCTCGGTGTATCACGCCCTTCTGGTGCATACAGTCTATTGCCTCAAGAAGTTGAGCGCCGTAGAATCTTGTACACTCCACATCAAATGATCCAATCTTTTTCAATACTCCCAACAATTCTCCGCCGCTAGCGTACTCAAGGACGTAGTATAAACATGCGCTATCTTGGAAGGTGAAGAATAATCGAATGATGCCTATGTGAAAATGTCAGAATAAAATGGCGCTGTGATGGCATGTCTGGATAACAAGAAAAAGAGACCCGGATGGCACTCTTTTACAAGTCAGCCGGTGGCATCTTGCTTACCTGGGTGGTCTGATAACCGATTCAAAGTGTCTTTCTCTATATTCACATATTTGATCTTTTTCTCCTTAATTATATGCTTCTTGTCCAAGATCTTAACGGCATGGTCTATTAGTGTCTGACGGTCGGTTGCGAATAACACAGTACTGTATGAGCCCTCTCCTAAAGTTCGCCCAAAGATAAAATCTTGCACTCCCTTCCTTACTTGCTTTAAGTGTACTTTTCCATCCGCATCAACCTCCTCACGAACACCGACTGCGGCACCTCTAACTTTCCACTCCTCAGCGGTGACTACATTTCCTTCGGTGTCGTAATGTGTATTAGCAGCAGCCATGGAATGTGCCGGGTTATCGTAGCCTCCGCCCACTCCTCTCGAAGTTCGCCTTGGTGGCACAGGCCCGTTACCCGGTGGCATGTTAAGGCCGTTATTGTAAGATCGTTCCCTATGACTCGCTTCTCTCGAGGGCACTCCTGCCTGCATTGCTGTGGCTGCCGACCTCGAATCACTCCTCGACGGTATTCCCCCGTGTACTGAAGCTTGCGAAGATTCGCTTCTTACTCTATATGATCCGTGGTCTCTATTTGGAATTGCGTTTGGAGGAGGTTGCGCTGCGTAGACACCTGAGATTGGTCGAGTGGCTCCGGGAGGAGGATATGCTCGATTTCCGTTCTGCATTGGATGTGGTTGATATGGGGGAAATGCTTGTTGTTGTTGAGATTGATGATTCATGGGCATTGATTGTCGATAGGGCTTCGCTGCAACGGGTCTTGGCAGAGGCTCTTGTTGCGCCTGCACTTTTGTAGATTCACCACTACTCGATGCCGAGCGTGAACTCGGGCGTTTCGGATCTGAAGTTTGTGGAAATTCGGGGGTGGACGTCGAGTTCGAAGAAGGGTCGGTAGGTGAGCCACGTCGGAGGATATTAAAGATGGAATGTCGTTTTGATTGCGTTTGGGAATCTGGGGTTTTCCGCGCGTCCTTGGATTCCGAAGGGGTCGAATCCGCGGCTTGATGTGGCATAAATGTAGAATCGTAATTGGTATGTTCGTGATTGCGATCATTTGAAGTTTCTAGAGTTGATGTACCAGACGATGCATCATCCGGATTAGCTATCCGCAAACCACCTAAGGATTGGGATAGGGATAAATCGTTCTCCATAATGGCCCTATTTCGTCGTTGTGAGGAGTTTACCAAACAGTAGCGTGGTAAAATGGCCGTCAAGCAGCGAAATTGATCCTAGACTATATCAT